CGCAGTGCCAGGCCATGTTCGCGCTCAGCACGCGCCTCGTGCTGCAGGGCCCTGATGCCTTCCAGCAGCAGGTGGGGCGGCAGGTGCTTGAAGCCTATGGGCGCCACCACCGCACCGAGTTCGAGGCCTTCTTCGACCGCACGCTCGTGCTGGGCCTGCTGCAACACGGCTATGGGCAGCTCAGTGCGCGTGACCCCGCCATCCTGGACTACATCCAGGCCGGGCTGCGCCTCATCATGAGCTGCCCCTCGGTGCTGGAGCTCTTTGAGGTGCTGCAGGTGGAGGCGCTGCGGCTGGGGGGCGGGGGGCCTGCAACCCCGCCCTTCGCCCGTCGCTGCCAGCAGCTCGTGCGCAGCATGGCCCACTTCCAGAGCCAGGGTAGCCGCGAAGCCGAGCTGCGCCTCTACGTCTCGCAGGTGACCCAGGTGGGCGTGCTGCTGCGCAGCGTCTGGAAGGCCAAGCCCGATACGCTGCTGCCCTCCCTGCAGGAGCTCTTCGCTGTCATCTCTGCTGCCGGTGAGCACTGGACAGGACAAGACCAAACAGGGAGCTGGGTAGTGGTGGCTCACAGAAAGAGCCCTTGCTGTGGGGTACCAAGAACTTGGCTTTGCGCCACCTGTAGCCATTGCTCTCCGTGGCTGTGTGCTGCCGCTTGTTGACAGTTGAGTAAGCAAAGCAGTGGATTATTTTGTAGTAAAAAGGCAGTGTGGGTATAGTGGTTTATTTAGGATTTGTTAAATGTTTCTGGGAGGTCTTCGTGTTGTGATCCGGTCAGTGGTATTTGGGAGCAGTGTTTTGGAGTCTCACTAGGAAAGGGAAAACTCTTTCAGTGTCCGTGTTCGTCCCTTCTTGCCCCCCGCAGAAGTATAGTTTAGACCTCAGCACTGCCCAGTCAGTGAAGCTGAGTGTATGTGCATCACTACGTAAGACTCGTGTATTGTAGGAACAATCTACCTTCTGAGTCGTTTAGATGAGATTATGAACTGGTCATTCCTGACCTTAAAAATCCATGAGTTACTGTAGTAGTTCCCAGTTGAGAACTGGCTTTGCAGTTGAAAGGCCTAGGAAACTTAAGGCAAGATACGCCTCGATATGCTTCAATATTAACTGGTGCGGTTAGTGGACAGGCTTGAGATAAGACGTTGTAAATACCAGCTGCAGTGGATCTCTATTCTTTAGAGTAAAATACAACTAACACTTATGTAAAAGTGTATTTTAGTTATCCTTAGAGTGAAAAATGCTTCTCAATCCTTTGGGAGGTAGAGGAGGAAGTTGGCAGCCTGTCACTTCCTCACACGGGTATTAGACCAATAAAAAGAGCTTGTAATTCAGTGGTCCTGGTGCTTAATCCATTTAAACCTTTTTATTTTATGCTAGTAGATGCTGAGAGACTGTTATCTATAGAATAAACCCATTGTTTCAAAACCTCACAATGAAGTTCTAGGATGGGAAACAATGTAGCTGTTACTCTGGCACTTTCTTTTTGTTTTGTAAAGCATATGGTGTTATTACAGATACTTCATTTGAACCTTCCGTTGCACTGGCAAGTCTTGTACAGCATATACCATTACAGATGATTACAGTACTCATCAGGAGCCTTACTACAGATCCAAATGTGAAAGATGCGAGTATGACTCAAGCTCTGTGCAGGTACTGTTTTTGGAAAGTCTTTTTTTTAATTAAATGTTTGACACGTTAGGTTAACATATATTTCTGATGCCACAGCTGTTATTGGCCAGGTTTCAGGTTAAGGTTACTGCCTTCACTGCTGATGTGGCTTCTTTCTGATGCTTTGCTAGGCCAGAATGAAGAAGGGGGTTCAACAGAAATGTAGCGGAAACCAGCTGAGTTCCATTTAGATGCCACCCTAGGTTTAGATCCCCCACTTTAAGGTATCTTCCACAAACTAGGAAACTTCACTGCGTTTATGATTATGCTGAGACCCAAAGCTGCTTTCAGAAAATCATCTCCTCTGAAGAGAGTTAATTTGCTCTATTTTTGAAGGTTTTTTTTTGAACTGCATTCACGTGAGTGTAATTAGGGGAAATGTCCTGTTTTGGTACTGAAAACACCAATTTTATTTACATGAAATTGTAAACCTGAATTTCATTTGAAAATATAATATTAATACTTTTCTTTAATTGTAGCATATTATGTAGAAACTTTAGAAGACTCTGCTTGCCTGAGCATACCTCAGCTAAGTTTGTGTGCCCCGTCTAAAATTGAAAACTGGGAAATCAGAACCATTTTTGTATACTAATAACCTGCTCATAACACGCTTGTGGTTAAAGTCTTGTTGTAGTATAATTTTAATATTTATGTTGTATTACCTGTTTCAGCACAGTATCATGATATTATTGTAGTTTCGGAAGGGTTTCTCTGTATGCCTCTACTTAGAGACGTAAAGCAGAACTGAGCTGTGGGTATAATAGGAGCGGCTATTTTCAAGTGAAAGCTGCTGCTTATTATTAGCTGCGTGGTGGTTTTTCCCTCTTGTTTTGGAAAGAGCTATGCTGTCTATGTGCCTTAGATCATTCAGCCTTTGAAGTGATATGTGATTTCAAGACCTTCTAGTTGTTCTGTGGAACTAATGTTTTAGTTACCCCTTGTTATTTTTGTTTGTAGATATTCTCTTGTCAGTACTGCATTCAGTTTCTTTGCTGTTCTTTCTACCTCTGGCTGCCTTTGCAATAACTTCTCGTTCTATTCTGGCTTTATTGTCATTAAGATGACAATGCCACTGGAAAGTCTGGATTGCCAAATAACAATGTTGTCATCAGGTTTGCATCATCCCCACAAGATGCAGAGTTCCAGGTATCACGAGGCCTCCCATTAGGAGTCATCAGAGCTTTGAAAATTGCAAATTAGAGGCCTAGTTACTCAGTTCCTAAGGATAACTCTCATGATATTGTAGAGCCTGTCTAAAATTGGATACAGATGAGGAAATCACTGTTTAATAAATGGAATCTGTTCAGTAGGGGATTACATTATCCGCAGGGTTGGTGTGAGAAAGGTGCTTGGTTTTGGCAATTTTGAGCTATTGCTGGATGGCTCGGCTCTCTCATAAAACCTTACCTGAAGCATCAGTGAAGAAAAGCAGAAAACTGTTGACTTTCCTGAATCTTATGACTACTTTAGAGGTCTTGGAGGGAGAGGTTTATCTACCTCTTCATATTCTGACCAGTATAGTCATGCTTCTTTGCATCCTTTTCAGTAAGGGAAACAGAAAAGTGTGCTAAGAGAAACTGCAAACTGTGACCAGGCCCTTTCCCCTGCAGATATAGATTTAAAATCATGTAGAAGATGTTACTTTTTTTTTTTTGTGAGTAGGGGATAGAAGAGATAATAGTGCTTTTTTGTGTGAGAGGTTTGTACCTGGGCTGTTAAGGTTGTTGCCTGACATGACTGGGAACTTCTGCAGAAGTTGTCCAAGAAAGCACAGATACAGTTCTGTTCTATACAGAGATGTTAGGAATGTTGCCCTAGGTTAGGCACACAGCAGATCTGTTCATCCTAGGGTGAAATGAAATTGCAGGTTCTCTCAAGGTCTTCAAGGTTGTCTGAATCTAGTCAAACACAAAAGTGTCCATTTTTTAACATGGTGCATAATGATGATGTGCCGTACTAAAAATGTTTGTTGATGGCAACAGACTAGGAGCTGAGTAAATAACTTGAAATGCAGAAAGTATATACTAACTGAAATGGATCCCAGTCTTCATCTGCCAGTGTTCAGATTTTAGGCTTCTTCGGACAGTCTTGAGCAGGCCTGCAGATTGACTTCTCTTTCCTCTGCTGGCTTTTGTTTCTGATTTTAAGAGAATCAGCTGTGCTTTTAAGAGCAGAAATGGATTCAAGTATCCGAATTACATATGGCTATCAATGGTATAGAGAAGGAAGTGTAAGTTTCTCTTTACCATGTTAAACATACTGAAATTATAGCTGTTATCCTATTAGTGACTATGGTGAGTAGTTCGATAGATAACTAAGCTGAAAACAGGTTACACTGAATAGCATATTATGTGACAAGGACAGTGGGATCCAAGAGTGAACCAGAGGGAACCCTACTGTTTTTGATATTATTATTTTTTCCCTTTTAATAAAGCTTATTGAAAGGGTGCTCATCATAAACACGTTTGACTTGAATATTTTGAGGAAGCAGCAGTTTGTGTAAATTCAGAGCAGTGATTACTTGATGGCATGTTTCCTTCCAATTTCTCTCTGAAACTGATATTTTCTGGCTGTGTAGATGATGGAAACCAACTTATACTAAGCAGTAGGAGTTTTAAGGCCTTATACAATTTGATATTGATTTTCATGTTGGTGGTTTGTTACATGTCTTCGTTTACTATACCTTGGTATTGCAAGGAAGGAAGGAAAGCACTTTGTGCTCCTTCACAGTGTAATGCTGATGATACACGATTGCTCTTGTGAGAAAGAAGCCGTGAAGTTGCATGGTGATGTTAGCTTTCTCCTACAGTTGCAAACTGAAGAGCTGTCCACTTCAAGTAGTTTGATTCTATTTCTACTTGTTCCTTTTTGCCTGTGATAGCTGAAAACACAGTACTAAGTGTAAAGGCTGCGTGTGTACAGTGTGTGGCAAGCTGTGTTTGTACAGCGTCTGTGTTTGTCAGGGCACGTCACATTCTACTAAATAGGGTAGAAGCCTGTTAAATGAGCATATTAATACAATAGTGACCATTTTATTAGACTGTTTACTTATGACCTCCTTAGCTATGTGCTATCACTTAGCCTGGTTATGAACATTTTATGGAAGTAAAGGAATATGCTTCCAACTTCCCCTTTTGATTGAATCATAACAGAACATAGGCTGAAAAGGGCTGCTGGGATTGAACTGGTACCACGTTTGAAGTCAGACACATTGCTCAGGGTGTCCAGTCAAGTTTTTGAGATGCCACAGCTTTACTGATAAACTGTTTTGATGTCTGACAACCCTTGTGATGGGGTGGTGGTGGAATCCTCTCCCTTTATATATGATGTTTCACCTGGCTTGAAGGAGGGGATCTTGAGGACAACTAAAGAAAATCCTAGTTATTGTTTAGTAAAATTATTGGAAAAAAAAAATCAAGAAGCCTAAGTTCTTGTTTCCACTGGCACTGCATTATGATACCGTGTGTTTCTTAGATTTGCTTTACCTGACCTGCCTGTCTGGCTTAATTATCAATTGAAGTTATTTGCTAATTCAGCATAGAAGGGCTTTCTTTACAATCCTTTTTCTTCTGTTGTTCATCTCTATTTCTCAGAACTACACTTTGTTTTGTCTTGAGTTGTAAGGTTTTGCTAGAAATCAGAAATGTGTTAACATCTGGAAAATATGGGTTACTGTTCTTGGATGGTAAGAATAACCTGATATTTAATTATGTATGCTTACATACTTTTTTTTTCTATTTATTTTCAATGTATTAAATATATAGTTATTAATTATATAGTCAAGTGAGTGCGATATAATCAGAATTACCTTATTGCTTTTCGAACATCCTTGTATTACTACTTGTGAATGTCTATGTAAGTAGTTTCACTATTTGGATAGTATAGGATGTATGTATAGGATACTTTTTTGTTGAGATCAAGATAAATGGTGTATTTTATATATTTTTTTTTCTTTTTTTTTAATCTTTCAGGATGATTGACTGGTTGTCCTGGCCTCTGGCTCAGCATGTGGAAACATGGGTGATTGCACTGCTGAAAGGACTAGCTGCAGTCCAGAAATTTACCATCCTCATTGATGTCACCCTGCTCAAGATTGAATTGGTATGTCCTAAAAGAGTATTTGAGGTGGGAAGAGGGATTTTCAACAATCATGCAATTGCATGGACTCCTGTATTATGATATATTTCCCTTAATATCTAGCATAGGAGAGTCAAGTGTCATATAGCTTTCAATTTTATGTAATGGTTCTGTCCATTTCAAATGGATCTAGATTGGGAATCTGTTTACATTCTTATAGGAATTTAACTTTCTAGACTTACTGTGTGTTTTTTATTTTTGTTTGTTTTGTTTTGTTTTTAAGGTCTTTAATCGACTTTGGTTTCCTCTAGTGAGACCTGGTGCCCTTGCTGTCCTTTCCCACATGTTACTTAGTTTCCAGCATTCTCCAGAGGCTTTTCATTTGGTAAGTTACTAATAAATCATTTTCAGTTCTCTGAAGTGTAATTCATATAGAATTTCTAAAGTGGTTGTAAAGAAATAAAATTGATGAACTTAGATTTCGCATTTGTTTCAAGGTTCCAGAATCAGATTTCTTTTGTTCAGACCTTTAGGTTTTCTCACTTTTAGGTCCAGTCATTTAACCTGTAACTTGAAGAGCCTTGTGGTTCTTGGTATGTCTGTACTTGTAGCAGTAGTGCCTGGTCGTCAACCACATACCTCTGGAAAGCCATTTTAGGTGGTGTGAAGTCTATAAATGAATTTGGGCTGTAGCTGGAATTTCAAGCAAAACTAGTCAAGGACAGCTTAGAGATCACGTGTTACCCAGTCCTCCTGGAGGCAAAGGATTGCTTCGTTTTAAGAATGCTACCCTTTTTGTGTTTTGATGTACAAATTGGCAAACTCAGGGGTGCCATTTTTTATGGCCACTTTAGAAAGTGCAGTTCTGGGTGCTGAATACTTTGAGATTCAAAATGCAGATAGCAGATATACTAGGGTATGACGGTGATAGTGTAAAAGTAGTACAGCAAGATATGTGACGCCTTCTCTGTTCTCAAACTCAATGTCTAGCTTTAGGCTGCCTGTAGGTGGAATACAGGTCTTTAAGACCTGTAATAACAACTTGGTACACTGAAATCTCAAATCATTTACTTTGATTAACGTCAGAATAGTTGCCTTGTATCTGATTTCAGCTTCTCCGATCTTGGCCTAGGATGGAAAACTGAATGACAAAGAAAATAGCCAAGTAGCCTTGAATATGCTCAAAAAGTAAATATTTTACATGTTTTCTGTCTTCTATCCCTGAGAGAGACAAAACATTCATGTGAAAAATTTCAAGTATGAGATCAACAGGGTATTTATTCCAGAGATAGGCATTTGCTTTCACAAGGAAAAAATCCATGATAAGCTACATGCAGTGTTGCCCAAACATCTGTATTCAAAGCTTCACCATATCAACATGACGATGTTCCCACTGTTTTAAACGAATTACTACTTTACCGTTTGGGGAACTCCTGCTTTAATTTAATTGCCAACCTCTCATATTTTTGTGTGCTTAAGCTACTTGTGTATTTTGCTATAATAAATAGTCTAAATGTAAAACTGGTAAATAGATATTTGGTAATGTAGCCAAATTTATTTTGCAATTTATCTGAGTCATCTTCATTCCTTATGCTTGGGTATTTACATGAGCGACTCTATTACAAAACCAAGACATTCTCTCTTGTGCTTGTGATGTATAAGTACCCAGTGTGATATGTTAGAGTCCTGTGAAACTCTAAATTCTTTTGAAGTACGGAATTTTGGTTTGACCTCAGCCAAAAGCAGTATTTCTGGAAATAAACGAAGTATAACTTTCTCTTTTATGTAACTTTATGTACTCTGTAAGTAAGAATTTCATTCTTAATTTGAGAGAGCTGACAACCTGTACTTTTTTTACTCTTCCTCTATACTGTCTGTGTGCAAAATTACCATGTTTTACCTCTACTTTATACAGATTTAACTCCTGCAACTCAGTAGGTCAGGTGAAAATGAACTTGTGTACTTACTTTTGTAAAATGAGGAGAATTTTAAATCGCAGTTTTCACTCTTGGCTTTGTAATGCATTGAACGTTTGAAAATCTTTTAATTTTTAAACAACAGAGATTGTGCTAATCAAAAGCACAGAGTTTATTCCTCTTAGATAGAAAAATAATCCATAATACCTGCAGAAAAACTGATGCTTGAAAAAGTAGCGTGAGTATATTGCACCTGGCTCCTATACTTGTGTTTCTGAAGTGTAGTGTACAATTCTTGTAGTTGGCATAAGTTTCTATAATTATTATATTTTTATTTCTGTTTTATAGTTCATGTCCATATTGCAGAACAGTTTGTGGGCTAAGATATGATGAGAAATGGTTCCACCCATTTCCTCCAGAGTTCATCCTTCTTAGTCACTTAGAAACTGGAAAAGGTGTCTGAAGTTATTCTGATCCGCACTAAGTCCCTGCTCTTACGGCTTGCATGAAAGTAACTCTCTATTAGTTATTTTTTAAGACTGATACAGCAAGTCTTATACTCAAAACTACAAAATTCTATTCTAAATAAACACTATGTTTAAAGTGGAGCAGTGGAAGAGGTGAGGGTCAATATTACTGTTTTAAATCATGCATCGTGGTTTGGACTAATCCCCAGATGGGAGATGGGTTGGCATTCCCGGTGGTGGGTTTTTTGTTGTTGTGTTTTTTTTTTTTTTTTTTTCCCCCCCCTCGGAGAACTACCATGCAGGACAGTAGTTTTCTCACTAGGTGGAGCTGTGAGACAGTGCCCATCTTGTGAACTGGAGTAGGGTGATTATGTTTGTTTTGGATCTGAAGCATTAGATTCTGTTAAAATTGAGAGAACTTATGTTTCAAAGCTGTATCCATGAAGTTAAACTGTACTGTGAGCTGATAGTGGTGATAGCAAGGTGTTTGTTGTATTAACCCTAATAAGATGTGTACCTTGGACACCTGACTGCTTAAAATTTTGACTTTTTTGTATGTTTCAAAAAGTACCAAAACTTTAGGGTCTGTTTGAAAGTTGTTACAGGTAGAGAATAACATGTGCTTTTTTTGCAGTCATTGTTTCTCAACAATCCTGTATAAGGATAAGGATAATTCCTGTCACTTAGCATATGTAAAAGAAGTTAAGTTGAAGAAGATTGGAGAAATGCAATTGCTCAATAGCTGTGTAACTTTTTTTCTTTTTCTTTCTCCCCTCTTTAGATTGTCCCACATGTGGTCAGTTTGGTGCACTCCTTCAAAAGAGATGGCCTGCCTTCCAGCACAGCTTTTTTGATGCAGTTATCTGAGTTGCTACACTGTATGATGTATCATTATTCAGGATTTCCAGAGCTCTATGAACCAATTCTGGATGCTATTAAGGTACAATAGCAATGCAAAACTAGGGGGGAATTTGTTCTTGTTTTGCTTTCTTAAATGTGAAAACTAGAATCCCATAGACCCGATTTCTTTATAACTTCTACTAGGAGAATTAACCACATAATCTAGTGCCAATTCTGTGCTTGAAATATGCCAGAAGAACTGGTCTGAATGTTTCATGCATCATTATATTTGTTCCATGAGATGATTATAGCAGATTTTAAGAAAAGCCTGAAGTCGGGGCCTTTCTTAAAAATCTAATCTAATTTCTTCTGCTGTGTGTAACTAGCAATATATATTTTGCTAGTTTTTTTTTTTTTCTAAGCATTTCATTTCAAACACTAGAAACTCTTCCAAGTTGTCTGTCCTGTTTGATGCAGCAAAATGAAGCCATGGTTATCCAGACCTTGAATTTTATTTTTTTTGTCTTTCAGCTATTTTGCAGATAATATATCTTCTGTTGAGTGTTTGTTTGTTTTGTCTCATTTCATATCTGAGTTTTAGCAAACTTGTGATGTAAATACACCCAGCAATTCTTTATTCTATGTCACTGTTAGGATCCAGCTTCTTATGTAAGTTTGGAGCATTGGTAGCGGTGAAAAGAGAAAGATTTGCTGATGTTTGAGGAGAACTCTGAAAGATGTTAAAACAGAGTTACAGTGTTGAATATACAGCAACATGCTGAATTCTCAAAAAGGTCTCTGAGAGTATGACAAGTGTTAATGGAAAGGAAATAGGGAATTTGGGGTCAAATAAGGAGGAGGAATTATGAAATCCCTAGAAGGTAAGGATTTTCTTTGTGCCTTTTGGAGTTAGTCGAAGAGCAGGAGGAGAGTACGGTCTAGAGCATAGTTTATTTGTCTAGCTCCCACCTCAAAAAAACACAAAGAAGCACTACATCTTGGTACTGCAGTGGGGGTAGTGCATGCCTTTAAAGCATATCGGCCCATGTAACATTCTGTTGTGCTTTTGTTTTCTTTTTAAAGAAATTAATTTAAAATGCATAATGCACATATTTTGAAAATATTCAGATAATACTGCCTGTTTACATGACATGTAACTGCAATATTACTGCTCCGAGACTTAAAAACAGAACCCTATTCATTTTATCCTGAGTATTTTTGACTCCTACGTTTTGATTTGACAGAGAAAGAAGGTCTCTCTAGCAAATGAGAAGATGCTTCAGAGGCTAACGTATGGAATTTGAGGGTCATCTTCTGGTGGCAAAAAGGATTGCATGAATATGCAAACCAAAGGTGGCCACCAACCCCTTATTCCTGTGGTTTGAGAACTGATAGAATCCACCTTGAAGGAGAGCTACTTTGGCCATAGCACATTTCCCTAGCCTTTGACTGGCCAGACATTTGTGCTCTGGGTATTTGTCAAAGGCAATTGTAACATGTACAGATGAGCAGGGACAATGGGAGCCTGAAAGAGAATGTCAGATGGCAGAGCAAGGGAAGATATCAAAGACTGCTGGATGGAAGTACTTTTTATTTGCAGGGGGAAGGAGGAAAAAAAAAAAAAAAAGTACACCAACCTAAGTGTGTTAATGTTTCTCTCATAGGAACTGCCCAAACCCAGTGAAGAGAAGATTAAGTTGATTCTCAGTCAAAGTGCCTGGACTTCTCAATCCAGTTCTTTGCCATCTTGTTTATCTAGACTTTCTGGAAAATCTGAAACTGGGAAGACTGGCCTAATTAATCTAGGAAATACTTGTTACATGAACAGTGTTATTCAGGCACTCTTCATGGCTACAGAGTAAGTCCTTATCACCAGTTGTTTTCATTGTAAATTAGCTATTGCAGTAGTCTTGTGTTTCACAGAATGTAAACATGTCCCGAGTCAGTTGGGTTCCTAGCAAAATTTCAGAGTTTCTTGGCAGATAGTTACTGATTGCTTTATTAGGATCCAGCTCCGTGGAATTGCAATTTTAGTCATAAAAACTAATGATAGCCTTTTAACACTGATTTACTTCAAGTTTGATTTCTTTAGTGTGTAAAGTTTCAGTAGTATGGCTTAATTCTAGGCCCCAGGCAAGTCTTGTCTTTTCTTTTCTTGTTTCCTGCCCTGTCCCCTCCCCCCCCAACTCCCCCTTTCCCTACATGCTCCCTGTGAAGGTTAACAGTGATGCTGCTTTTCTAGCAATCTGGAAACTGATTGAGAGGGAACTTTGTCAGTCTTTAGTCCTTTCTCCTTTAAATGTTTAAAGAAGATGAATGTTTTTGCACTGAGGTGGTTCTTACTGTACTGCAGTTTTGCACTGCTGCATGAGAGCAGAATCCAGGCTTCGAGGGGAAGAGGGTCTTTACCATTTTGCTTTCCACCAAATGGAAGTAATTGTTTTGGAATGATACTGCATTGCTTTTAGAAATCTATTAGGAAACTAATGTCCATCCCTCTTCAGTTTCAGAAGACACGTTTTATCTCTAAATCTGAATGGATGCAATTCACTAATGAGAAAATTACAGCATCTTTTTGCGTTTTTGGCACATACCCAGGTATGTCAGTTCACAGCATCTGTTGTTTTTAAATCTAAATCTATATATCAACACACAGCAGCTATCTTCATGATGCCAAGGAGTAGTTCGAATATTTTAAAATGTTGAAGTGATAGATTTGGAGGGCAGTGAGACGACTTGCAGATGATATTGGTGGACTTAGAGAGTCATTATTTTGCCTGTAGAAATAACATCCTGGTTTTCTGTTGCTCTTGAAAAGGCTGTAGGGGTTTTCTTTGAGAAGCTTAAATGAAAAATCCAAGTCAGACCTTACTCTAGTATGGAAGCTGATGTTATGTAACTTTCTAGGAAAACCTATGACCTTCTGCAGTGATTCCCATTAAATTTTATTGTATTTCTAAAATAAACTTTGTTAAATGAAATGCCAGAATATTTTGCTAAAATTGGAAAGATATTAGGCATGTCTTTTTTGATTAATTCCAGTAAACTCAATGAAAAGGGGATGAGGATGATTCACCTTAAATCAATAATAATGAGATACAGGTGTTTTTCCAAAGCCAGGCAAAAAAATTTAAGCTTGCCTGCAAGAATAGTAACAGCTACTAGGTTTTACATATGCTTTATGTTCATTGCGAATTTAATATTTGCCTGCAGGATCCTTTTATCCTTGTACTTGAAGTGATTACTGCAAAAGTAATAGCTAATACTTGTATTTCTCCTCCTATTTTGAAATAGGAGTTTAAATGTTTGTGTATCTTGTGCCATACAGTTCCTTTAGAAGGTAGTTCAGAGTCCAGCTGACCATATAAAGACAATATAATCATTTTTTAAGTAAAGCTGATGCAGTGTTGCCTGTTTATTCCTCACATGAATAGAGGGAGGCATATGCGCCTAGAATTTTCTTTGAGGCTTCCAGACCACCGTGGTTTACTCCGCGATCTCAGCAGGATTGCTCAGAATATCTCCGGTTCCTGCTAGACAGGTAAAGTTATTGTGATGTTACTGGAAGTGAATTCACCGCCTTAACCACGTGAAATCAAACTTTTAATTAGGAGCAGTCAACTAACAATTCCATTGCATGACTGGGATTCAGGAATTCTAATTATTTTCTGGATGGTCTGTGAATCACTTTTTTTCTTTGTCTGTTTTATGTGTGGTAAAACCTAGATACTTTTCTTCATATAACCCAGAGCGGGTTGTAATGGTAATACTCCATTTCACAAAATTATACTTGGACATTAGTCATGTTAGTCATGGTCTCATTGTGAAATACATGTGGTTCCTGAGAACAATTCAGTCAGGCAGCTGGAATTTCAAGTTGATATAGACACCTATATTTCATATAGGTCAGGTCATGAAGAGACACGTATACATTTTTAAGCAGTTTAATATATAAATGAGTTTAAACAGATAAGATACTGAAAAATATTAGTAGACCACTCAGTTTCAGCCTGCTCAGCATTTTGTTGAGACTTGGTTTAAGCAATATTGCCTCATATAAACTTATTCAGAAGCAGACTATCTCAGTAGTGAAGTAGTGTCCTTCTCATCTAACTGCAGCAACCCCCCCCCCCCTTTTTTTTTTTTCCTCTTGACATAATTTAAATTGCTTGGCTTTAAAATCCTAACCTTTTCCTTTCATAGAATGCTTAAGGTTGGAAGAGACCTCTAGAGATCATCTAGTCCAAACCCTCTGCACACGCAGGGTCACCTAGAGCACGTGGCACAGGACTGCGTCCAAGCGGGTTTTGAAGATCTCCAGAGAAGGAGACTCCACAACCTCTCTGGGCAGCCTGTTCCAGTGCTCTGTCACCCTCACTGTTAAGAAATTTTTCCTTAAGTTCCTATGGAATTTTGGATGTTTCAGTTTCCGGCCATTTCCTCTAGTCCTATCAGTGGCCACCACTGAAAAGAGACCAGCACCGTCCTCTGCACTCCCTCCCTTGAGGTACTTATAGACACTGATTAGATCCCCTCTCAGCCTTCTCTCCTCCAGGCTGAACAGGCCCAGCTCCCTCAGCCTCTCCTCATAGGGCAGATGTTCCAGGCCCCTGATCATCCTTGTAGCCCTGCGCTAGACTCTCTCCAGCAGCTCCACATCCCTCTTGTACTGTGGGGCCCAGAACTGGACACAATACTCCAGATGCGGCCTCACCAGGGCTGAGTAGAGGGGCAGGATCACCTCCCTCAACCTGCTGGAGATGCTCTTCTTAATGCACCCCAGGATCCCATTGGCCTTCTTGGCCACGAGGGCACACTGCTGCCTCATGGTCAACTTGTCCACCATGACACCCAGGTCTTTCTCTGCAGAGCTGCTCTCCAGAAGGTCGGTCCCCAGCCTGTACTGGTGTCTGGGGTTATTCCTCCCCAGGTGCAGGGCCTTGCACTTGGCCTTTGAAATAGTCTGGCACAATACAAGTAGCTGCTTGTTCTCTTAAGAAATCTGACATACAGTACCAGTCATTTGAAGAGCTACTAGTTATTAAGGTAATATATAGGTATATAATGTTTATTGGATGTTTGAAATACTGTTGCTCACAGTATTTTCATTGGGTCCTGTTGCCAATAATGAAGGTTGCACAGAGTGCCTGTGTGCTTTGCCGATGCTCCGTTTTCGCTGGTACTGAGCTACGCGGTTCAAATGGCTTATTCAAACACTAACAGCCCCCCCCTTTTTATGCAAGAGATACTTAGCTGATTAGACATGTCAACTTAAGACTTTTTTTTTCCTAGTTGTACTAAAGTGGTTCAACAGTGTCTGTTTGCAAAATAGTTACAGCTACTCAAGTTTTTTTTTCCCTTCGTCTTCAGGTTGCACGAGGAAGAGAGAACCTTGAGAGCTCTGTCGTCAGCAAAGGCTGCTGAAAGTCTGATGAGTGAAGAGTCCCAGGCACAAGAAACTGTCCATAAAGCCCAGCTGTTTGCTGAAGCACCTTATGCTGGAAGTGAAGAGAGAACGTTGATAGAGAGAATGTTTGGAGGAAAACTCAAAACTAGTATATGCTGCTTAAACTGCAAAAGCACTTCTCAAAAGGAAGAAGCTTTCACAGATCTCTCTCTAGCTTTCTGTCCTCCTGCTTCCTTGGAGAATCTTGGCCCCAAATGCATGGAACATTCTGAAGTGAAGGATGATTATGTGGTGCAAAGTAGTAGCTTAGCATCCAGTGGTGTTGAAGAAGCAACTTTCAGTAACTTGGAAGTAAATGGTGGATGTGACAAAATTATGAATGAAGGAACCATAAAAAATTTTTCTACTGAGCCCAACTCTGGGGATACTGCAAATTCTGAGCTCAACGACATTCAAGACAATAAGGATATATCCCAGAGGCTAGTAGGTAAAAATACTCCATCAGTCACAGACTTACTGAATTACTTCCTGGCACCTGAGATCCTCAGCGGAGATAACAAATATTATTGTGAGAAGTGTGCCTCTCTACAGAATGCTGAGAAAACTATGCAAATCATTGAGGAACCAGAATACCTCATTCTCACCCTTTTGAGATTTTCATATGATCCAAAGTGTCATATAAGGCGCAAAATCTTGGACAATGTGTCTCTGCCACTTGTTTTAGAACTGCCAGTCAAAAGGGCAACATCTTCTCTAGCTGTAGTTTCAGGAGGTTGGTCAGTCAATGTTGAGATTTCTGATTTTGGAGAAAATCTTGCTAAAAAACTGAAGCCCTCAGGTGCTGATGAAGTGACCTGCCCACAGCTGGTGCCCTACATGTTAAGCTCTGTGGTAGTGCACTCTGGTGTCTCCTCTGAAAGTGGACATTACTACTCTTATGCTAGAAATGTGACTGGTTCAGGGCCTTCAGGACTGTGCCAGCAGTCCAAAGCTCTGCCTTTAGTTTCTCCCCAGGATACATTGATGGCAGAAGAGAGTCCTTCTACTGTTGTAGAAAACGATCTAGACGCTGAAATGCCAAAAGAATGGTTTCTGTTCAATGACAGCAGAGTGACATTTACCTCATTTCAGTCGGTCCAGAAAATTACGAGTAGATTTCCAAAGGATACTGCTTATGTTCTGTTTTACAAAAAGCAAAATAACACCTGTGGCTTCAGCACCAATTCAATGAATGGACTCTGGGTAAATGGAGACCCTCCCCTACAAAAAGATCTCATGGATGCAATTACAAAAGATAACAAGCTATATTTGCAGGTAAGATGGAAATAGTATGCGAAGAATGTCCAGAGACAATTGAAAGCAAGAAAAAATGTCCTTTTTAATTCATCTTGTATATTAGTCTTGCAAATGGCAAATTCTGCTTCCCTCTTGGTGTTGCTAGACAGGTTTTGTAGTTAGGTTAACCACAGTTAGATGATAGATGGAAAGCATAAGACAAATATGGTTGAAACTTTGTTCTGTTTTTGGGAAGACTTTTTTTTCAAGTGGAGATGCTCAGATTGGTCCTTTGACCATTGAAAAGCCTGTCCCACGTAGAACTGTGAACTGCTTGTGTTGTCTTTCATTACATTCTTAAATTACACGGAAGTAGCTGGTGTATATTAAATACTTAACAGCATTTTTGGCAGCCTGTTTTAACTTGTGACAATTTATTGTAAAACTATGTTAGAATCACCGAAATGTAAGACCAGATGCTAGTCAACTCTTCCTTCCCTGCCCATGCTGTGTTCCTCCTTGGACCAGTGCTGCCAGACTTGGTGCTTCGTGAAAATACTGCTGCTTACCGAGCTGTAGTCATGTATTGTTGATACTAAGGGTATTGCTCTCTTCCTTAAAACATGGTTTGTTTTGAGCCTTGCTGCTATGTTCAGACGGTGAAGTTGTGTTTTACTGAATGTTCTTCTGATGAGCTAAGCTGTTCCTGTAAGAGTTTCACAGAACTTAGGCATACTCAAATTAGAAAAGGTAGAGCTAAGGCCAAATTCAAAAACAGCAATTCTCACTGTGAAAATTCATTATGATAGCTTCAGATATTTTACAAACAGAGCGCTGTGTGTTTAAATTGCAACTTGCTTTCTGCTATTTTCAGATTTTGCAGTTACAGCTTTTACATCCTAACCATTTTTTTTTTTTTTTAAATATATGCCGGCTCTCTCCTCTGTATCTATGTACAGGATAATATAAACCATGGAATCTTTAATAGCAGTCTCAAGTAACTGTAATATTTTCCGGTGAGAAATTCTGTGACTTCCATTAACATGTGAAAACTTTGTCAAGTTAAAAACTTAAAGCCAACGATGTGTTACTGAGCAGTTGAATGATAAAAGAAAACTAATTTTAAGTGTGTGAAATGGAGAAAAATGGTACCACAACTTCTGTGCTACTGTGAGCTTTTGTAATATGTAGAGCCATACACTGAACAGAGGAGCAGTGTTACACATTCAGGATACAAAGCTTAGTAACTACTCCTGTTTGTCCATTTTCCTGCTCATTCCTGTTCTTGTATTCACATACACTAATGTAGTTAGCAGGATAGGTGAGTGCCTACCAGCCAAGTGTTATTAGCTTTATGCTGCGTGCTGCCTTATTGGGATCCTGAGAAAATGATCAGCAGCTCAGTAGAGTTATTCCAAAATATGGTTTGCTAAGCTAACTTTTTCAAGACCATTTGGAGTCAATTCTTGGAATACTCAATCAGTAGAAAGTTAATTCTGTCAGCTTCCCTGAATTTTGCTGTACACCTAAAAAACAAAGTTAATATGAGCTAAAAAAAACCAGAGTCTGTACCATAAATATACTTTAAAAAGCAATGACAACTTGATGATCTCCCAAACTAAAACAAAGCCTAATTAGTAGTTCCCTTGAAAGCCTTTCCCTTACAGTTTAAAAACAAAATAAAAAACCATGAGCAAACTTAATCTGCTTAAAGAGGAAAAAAAAAAAAAAAACTATTCTCTAAGCAGGTTATTCTTACCTACCATAGTTTGTGGGGTTTTTTTTTGTTTTTTTTTTTTTTTGGATTCTTCGATGTTGATCTCTTTTGCATTGCCCTACTGCTGTGATTCTGTCATTATCTCAAATGAGACTGTTTAGAAATGTTCGATCAATCCCCTTTCTACCATTATTTCTAATCCTTTGTTTCAGTGAATGTTATTCATACTTTGAAAGCTCATGTATTTATCTAAACTAGTGTTTTCTCACTTAAGATGATATCTTTCTGTCCCGAGAAAGCCTTTGCTTTTTAAAAGCAATGTTTAAAACAAAATCTAGTTAATTGCTTTTCTGGCTATGATTTTAAGACTTGCATTTAATATGGAGTTATCTGCAAACTTATTCCTGACATTGATTTTATTTTCTAATACAGCTTTTTAGGTTAAAAACTCAACTGTTGAGGATGAAAGGGCCTAAGGTTGCCTTTTCCTAAAGAAATGAAGCTTGTGCAGATCTACTATGTCTGTCTGTCTTGCTCTATCTTCTCTCCTTTAACTTCTGAACTGGTTGGCCAATTTGAGACAGGGGTATTAAAGCCAATAAATTACCATGAGGCTTGTAAAATGCCTTAGCTAGAGAAGAAAAATGGTGTGCAATATCCCCATGAGGGGAAACGGTAGTGCTTTTTTCCCTGTTGGACATGTGAGGAGCTCACTGGAAGATAGAAGTTGTCAGGAGGAGGCTCTGCTGCTTCCTTGTTTCTATTACAGGCAGGTAGTTTTTGTAGAACTAATTCTGTTTTTATGGGGGGGTTGTTTGTTTTTTGGGGTTTTTTTATATATATTTGAGACTTTCTGAGCCCTCCTAGCATTAAAACACAATTAGCACAGCATTTAGCGAATAGAAGTCAACTGTTTCTAGCCCCTGGGAGACTTTTTTAATTGTCTGTGTCCTTCAATGGCAGGAGCAAGAGCTGAGCGCTCGGACGCAGGCGCTTCAGGCCGCCTCGGCGTCCTGCTCCTTCCGACCCAACGGCTTCGACGACAACGACCCGCCGGGCAGCTGCGGCCCTGCAGGCGGCGGCGGCGGCGGCAGCGGCTTCAGCACCGTCGGCAGGTTGGTCTTTTGACGCTGAAGACGCCCTGGAATACACTGGTTCCCAAGCAGCTTGCTGCTGCAGAGGACAATTAAAATCTTGAACTTTGTCAAATATTGTACCATGTTTTGAGACTTGATCCTTGTTCTATAAGAAATGTTGGGCTTTGGGGATCTTTTGTTTTGTTTTATTTGAAATAAATAAGCGCATCATGGAGAGAAAAAAAAAAAAAAACTACCTCTTAAAAATTCACTTGTTTTTACAAGTAAGATATGCTTGCCCAAAAGAGAGAAATGAAGATTTTTAAGTAGTTTCTAATGACACTGCATTAAGCTAAACAAATGCACTTACCATCAGTTTGTATCATCCCTATCCACTGAATGAAGAAAGCTCATTTTTTGCTCTGACAGTGTTTTATGTGGAGATCCTTTCAGGTGGGCTGAAATGACATATATAGTCTCCATTTAAAAATCCGGGACCTTTAAGGGTTTCCAGAGATGATGCAATCTTATAATGAAGGCAATAACTTCAAATGTGACATGAAACTACTTTCCATAATAAAAAAGAAAAATTAAATTCAATATATTTCCAGTATAAATATAAAGAAGAAAAAAATAGTTTGTAAATGTATGCTTTTCCAAAAAAAAGGCATGTTCTGTAGGAGCAGTGTTTCTAAATATAAATTGTTGACTTTGTAGCATTTTAATTGTTTTGAGGATTTTAAAATGATTTCAGGGAGTACATCTGCTGTGTATTGAAAGGAAGAGATTCTGTATGTGCCTTGCAGTACTGTAATATAAACTTTTTGAGGCTGCAGAGAGGGGGGGAAATTGTTAGTAATCAGTTTTGTGTTGTCAGTATTAGAAATGAATACATTTTTGGGAAGCTAGTATATTGCTGGAAGTCAAATCTGGCAGTTACAAATACAGTAAGCTTGTCCATTATTTTTGATTCAAATAAATATAACCAGTGAGCTACAATCTTCCTGGCTTCCACTGCTGAGAAAAAGCTGGTCATGGGTGCTGAGCCGGATTTGTGTGAGGACAGAGAGGCTCCCTGCATTCCTTCTAGCCGAGGATCTCGGCTTGCTGAGAGTCCTTGGAAGTTCTTGGGTCAAATCCTCCTTCGAGCCCAGCAACCTCAGCCCCACACTGCTCAGAGGCCGTCGGGTTTTGCTCCTGGTGAGAAATCTCTGGCGAGTTCAGCTTTTAACTGTCTCGGGAAGGTCAAGGTCATCTCGTCTATGGAGCAATGTTTGCATGTTCATTGGGCCGACAGAGGTTTTAATCCTGGCAAAAATAGAAACGTGATGTTTTGGATGTGCAATGATGATAACAGAAGTAAAGGAGTTACACTGTTGAATCTGGTGATTAATTTTTAACTTGAATTAACTTCTAATGAAGTGTAAGTTTATTTAAAGTATTCTTACAAAGTTCTCTGCTGTTTTGCTGTGTTTTTTTACTTTAAATCTGCTAAGTGGCAAAGTGCATCCTTACAAAGCATGCAAACTTTGCAGGTGATAGTTTCCCTGTGCAAAGTAGAGAGATTTCCCAGAAGAATCATGTAAAAGCAAAAACAAGCTGAGAAAATGTGACCTTGTTTCTATGGTATCAAATATGTGACTTGTAGTCTGACAAGTAATTTGGCTTTAGAACCGTTTTAATATTAGTACTGCAACTGTGTTACTTGGTTTTGCTATATGTTCAGACCTTACTGCTCCAGGAAGTTAGAATGGCTTTTTTTTTTTTTTTTTTTTTTTTTTTTTTTTTATTTTTTTTTTTTTTTTTTTTTTTTTTTTGTTAAATTAGTTTTCATTCTTTTCAATTACTTCCCAAGTTTGTTCTGCCAGTTCATAGTTCCTTGGCCTTGACCTGCTTTCATTGCCTTCTCAGTTCTAGGTGTCTAAATCAGATGTTCACCTGTGGAAATGCGGAGTGCTGTGGCACTAACAGGAAAAACAACCTCATTTCATTTGCTTGGGTGAGGTCTGTTTTGAAAGTTCACCTTGCCTTGAGATTCTCTAACTTTCAGAATAATACTTTTTTTATTTGCTCTTGGGTTTCTCAACCAGCTAGCGCTGTTTTTAAAATGTCTCGATGGCAAGTTTTATTTGCCTCTCTCCCCAAGTTATGGGAAGGACCCAGCAAAAAGCTATCTACTTTTTGCATTATAATGGGAGTTTTTCTTTCTCACTTTAGTGTTCATTTTTTTAAACACCAGTAAATAGAAGCAGTAGGAACTGTTTTTACTCCATATGAAATCACATTCTTGTTAAGGTCAGTTTTGTTTTGTTTTTCTGTTTTCACAGTAAAAATACAAATTATGTAGCTTGCTTAAAAATAGCTTGGGACATGAGCTTGTATACCTCTCCTATTATATCTATTTCGTGAGCTTTTAGAAAGCTTTCTTCACCCTTGTTTGCTTGTTCTAAATTAGGTGTTAAATGTGGAAATTTTATATCAGAGTAACGCCAAATGGTTGGATCTGCTTGAGTGTAAAATTAAGGTATGTCTCAGCTTGAAAATAGCTTGGTTTTTTTTCCCCTGGGTGACTTCTATTGACCCAGTTATTTTTGAGTCTTGCAAATAGATTTTAGAAGTCAAAATAAATATTTGCAAGTCTGCCAGCCAACTTAACCATCCCGAAGGGATTAACGCCTGAGGGGGAAGTGTTTGCTGAAGCCAGGGCAAGCGGAGGAGCAGCAGCCACCCGCGGGATGCACGGGGCACTTCCCTGGATCCTGCAGCCGCCGCGCTGGCTGCTCCAGCACTGCCGCCCGGTAGCGAAGGAGGGCCGTGCACAAGGGCTGCTGGAGTTCGGGGCACCCGGGACAGGGTGAGGAAAGCTTTGCTGGACCTTTCTGGCTCTATTCTCATCCAGCTTCAATTAGCAGAAAGATACCAAATACCCAATGCTTTTTTGAAGCTTCTGGGTTTTTTTTTTTCTGTATTATTTCATGAAGATAAGCCATTGTACCAAACTTAAGGGTGATATGTTCCTTAAAATCACATTTCCTTTTAACAAGACATGCCCTGTTTTGATCTTTGTTTCAGTTGTCTGTGGGGTTCTATTAACTTTTTTCCATGTAATTGATTTTATACTTTTTTTTTTTAAATATGGAGCATTGAAGGAAACTGGTCTGACTGCCACCCACTTAACAAGGATAACGGTAGCTACAAGCCCATTTATTGGGCTTAGTGAAAGAAAGGGCTTATGTGGATAATGAAAATAATCCCCAGTATAATTATAACTTCTGGCCAGCTCTTATTTATTCCTTTTTCTTCCCTACCATGTAAAGTTCATGTTTATCTTCTGTATTCTCTGAAAGTTTAATTTTATGATTAAGCCTTTTTCACTCCCTAGTAGTGAGATTATTTATAGAACAAGAATGTTATTTTGGTTCACAAATGATCAGTGAAGAGCAGAAGCATACTGTGAGCTAAGAGTAATGTTAACACAGAAGTGTTCGATTTCTATCAGAAATTAAGTTTCTAATTGCTAGAATTGCCTAACCTCGTGTCAGCCTTCTAGGTAGAGACCTGCTTTGAAGGAAGAGCCGAGGGCATCTGCAAAAGAAATTAGATGGAAAGTGGTGCCTGAGTAGGCACCAACTAGGTAAACCAGAGGTCCCTTCCAGTCCCCTCCTAGACTTGTGCTCCACTGTTGGACTTCCCATCCTGACACATAAGCAATTTTTGTTTTTAAGGCTTCGAGATTTGTGTTCCCTTCACGGGTGCTTTTCTAAACCATGGCATAACGCCGGCGAAGGTTGACTGCTAAATGGTGGGAGTTCTTGGTCTGGTTTAGTGGAGTGAGGCAGAGAAAAGATCAAGCTGTGGAGAGTGGAAACCAGGCAGAGCTGTGATCAGAAATACTGTGTCATGTTCCTAACATGGTGGTGCTTAGCCTGGTAACAAACTGCAGAGGGATGCAAGGGATTGTGGCACTTGATAGCCTGCACAGGTTGCAATCACACCTGAATTACTGGGCTTTTCTCTGGGTGAAACACAATCTATCATAAATGAAGCCAGTGAAAAATATTTTGAAAACTTTCATGTTCTTTACAGCCAAACATCACAGGTTCACCTAAACCTCAATTCATAGCTTGAGTGATACAAACTTAAATCACACAAGTCGCAGGTCAAGGACCTAAAAACATCTAAGCTGTTTGTGGATTTTATACCAAATTCTATGTGAATTTCAAAACCAGCAAGTACCCCAGTTTCTGCAGGCAGTTTTTAGAGACTTGAGCCTGGAGCTTGAGCTCTGCTTGTGATCAGAATGCCATCTGCACTGCGCAGTGTAGTTCTAATTTCTTGCATATGGCTTTTGTTTACTTTTTTTAATGCACACACAGAGACACACCTCTGTTCACGGTGAGTCTTGCTTTTGCTTGAATGGCAGTTTCAAGATCAAAGGGGAAACCAGCTAAGTTAGAGGTAGCGCGCGGGGCCCTGCGCGGCGCGGGCTGGGGGGCAGCAGCAAGTCTCATGTGGGGCAGCACCTGCTGCCGGGGCCCCCCTCCTGCTGGGCTCGGCCGTGGGCCAGCGCCAGCCCCAGGGCTGAGCTGCTCTCGGGGCCGCTGCCGCACGGCAGCCCCCTGCAGAAGGCCAAGAGTGCCAGGTGTGGGGGCTTCCGAGGGTGATTTCACCTATATCCACCCCAAAACTGTGCCTTCGGTGTGACTGCACTCGCCGTGTTTTGCCACCAGTGCTTCGCTTTCAAACTCCTGTCCTTTGGACACTTGGATTGTATACGGGCTGGCTTAGGAACTAGGGCCACAATGAGCATGCTGGAAATAACGCTGCTGAGGAGGGTACTCCAGATTTCAAGTTTAAAAAATGAGTTCAGCCAAGGGGATACATGCCTGGGCTAGCAGCTGTAGTATCACAGGGCATCCTCGAGGCAGCAGACGTGCAAGCTATTTTCATTTGATATAAAAAGCCTCTTAATTGGTCCGTTCATAGTGGTTGTTTTTCTATTTCATGAACATAGCCTATTGCATTTAAGAGACCGTACTGCTTGACCGTGTTTTCAATCTGTTTTTATTCTGGAGTCTTACAAAATTTAATGACAGAAGTGCTGTTAACTTTGCTACACCATGTTTTCCTACAACATGCATTAAATGATGTAAAAAGAGCTGTCAGAAGTGTGGTTTGCAGAGCTCCAGAGTGGTTCCAGCTGTGAGGGGAGGATGTAGCCCTCGCCGGGCACAGCG